CCCAACTGTATCGATCTCCAAACGGAATGGAGCCTGGGCTCAGCCACACTCCTCGCCGGTAGATCGAACTCTAACATGTCAGGCTCCACTGTCTCAAGGGGTTTGGGCCATCTGGCACTGCCGATCGCGAGCTCCTCTCTATCCACCTGCTCTACCATTGAATCGCCTATAGCTACTGGCCGACGCTAATCACTACTCCCTCTCTGTCACCACTCCTAGCACGTCTCGTCCGTGTGCTGCCTCCTAAGTCCGGACGGCGACCCCTATCATAGGGAAGTGGGCGTCAGTAACGTCCACCTCCTCCTCCGAGTCAGAGTCGTCCCAGTCAGGCTCCCACACGTCCTCGGTGTCCTCACGTTCCCACCCCTCGTCGTCGAACTCGTCCTCGACGCGATATGGAGCCTGTCCTATAGCCTGATAGTACCGTGTCAGTTGATGGCTGTATATCAGAGGTCGTCCTGCGTCCTCACTCCACCAGCTGCCTCAGTCGTCTGAGAAAAGACTCCCTATGCAAGTCACGTACACAGGGCCTGCTCGGAACTCTCGATCCAGCCAGTCCCAGACGCACAAAGCCAGAGGCCAGTCGTCATCTACCGAGCGGATCAGCTCTATGAGCTGGACCCTTTCGTCCCCCCAACGGAGTCCCCCGGTCGCAAGGGAGTAGAACACGAAGTCAAGGTCGCGGTGCCCTCTGGCAAGGATCTCAAGATCTCAAAATGCTAAGTACGCCTCGACAACTCCACCTATGCCCCCGAAGATATAATCCACGATAAAACCAGGGATCACCGCTCTCAGACACGTGCTGCCGTATGGGAAAAAGCAGTCTCGCGCTATCATGAGCTCGCTCTTAATACAGAGTGGAGGTCGACCGTGGAACAACGTCAATGCGTCGCTCGCGTCGTCCGCTCGAAATGCGGTGACCTCGTCTCGCAGACACCGTAAGGCTACGCTGATCGCGTCGCTCTCACCTGTCGTCACGAGGCTCAGGGCAGCCTCCTTGGCCGCGTCCAACCCCAAGTATAGGTAACCTCTCACAAGGCCACTCTCCTGGCCAGGCCGGACTTCCCTATGAGTCCAAAGCCACATGTCCGGTGATATGACAACGGACCTCCACCCAAACTGTTCGTCGATGTAGTCTCCCCGGGCAGGGATCGTGAACTCAAAATACACATTTCGTAAAAAATGAACTTTTTGTCAAAAAGTGAACTATTTCGACTGCGAATAAACACTCGGTACATGGCCCAATAGGGCATCATGCGACACTTTAAATGGTCAATATATGAGGTGTTGACATGGCAAATGTTGCGACGGGGCGTTTTGAGCCCTTCATACATGAATAGTCATTATTAAATGCGAATTAACACAGTGAAAAAAAGGGCAGGGGCTCTTTGTATGACACTTTGACAATGTTGTCCTGGCTTAGTGTTGCTGTGACAGACAGTACACGATTCAAAAGGGCATCGTGTTGGGTATGTGGTGCCTGTTTTCCATAAAAGGTCAGGGGTCCGGCGCCCGACACCTTGCAAGTTGATCGACTGAACCTGTCAACTGTGGTCGGGCGGAACACCCAGGCTGGTGCACGACATTTGGCAAGTTGAACCCGCAACCCGTCAGTACCCCTGCAACAATTGTGTCCACAATTTATCTTCCCGGAAGGACCTGAGGCTCCTTCTCCGATTTACAAATAGTAGTTGAACAGTGTCACCGAATGATTCGGGAGTTAGTGGTGTTCGACAGAGCACCTTAAGGAAATGGCAAACAGTCGTTCGCTGTCGATGTTGATTGCCAAGAGCACTGTTAGGGGGCCTTGATGCTGGTTCTTGATCTGTTTGGCGATCGAGAAGCTTGAAGAAGTGTGAAAGAGTCATTGGTTGTCTGTGTGGATTGTCATTAGCACTCTTAGGAAAACTTGATGCGAGATCTGATTCCAGGGAGAGAGAGAGAGAGAGAGAGAGAGAGAGAGAGAGAGAGAGAGAGAGAGAGAGAGAGAGAGAGAGAGAGAGAGAGAGAGAGAG